TAATAATAATAATAATAATAATAGTAATAGTAATAAATAAGGTCAGAAAGTGAAAAGCAGACAAGATGCTCCCATAATATTTCTGCATAGATTGCTTCATTTCAGCAAGTGCCCATGGTAATGTAAAAAAGTAATCAATTGGAATTAAGCATGGCGTATGCAAATAAACAAAAGGAGACAGAGTTGAGTTCAGGAAGGGAGATTTAAGACTGTTGCTGAAAGTTCCAATTTGGGTCAAAATAATTAATTAATTATCGATTTTGAGATGTGAGTATTTTTGGCTTTTCAGTTTCTCTTACAGTTGTCTCATCACATAAGAACCCTGTAAACTTTTATTTACTTGCTCCCTATCAGGCATACACCACACCCCAAATAATTTAAATATAATATAATGTTTATAATATATTATAAAGTCACAACGTGGTGGAATCAAGCGCTTGTCAATTTTTTGGCATATTGGGTTATTGGTTTAATTTTAAAGCCTGTTCATTTGCCTTTCTTTCGGTGACAAAATTATTATTTCCATCTTGATCTATGTTTGAACTGAAGCCGAAATATAATTTGCGATAGAGGTAGGTAAGTCGCCTGGTTTCAGAGGTAAAATTAGAGAGAAAATGACCTCCAAAGTTTGGCGACTTCCGAAGTTTTGGAGTCCTTATAAACAGAACATTTATATTGTTTTGCTTTAAATCAACATTTTTCAGTAAAATCCACACCGAAATAATATTATGTTTTTAAATGGACCTTAAAGGTGTTGAGTAAAAAAATTAAAATCGATAAAAATTGGCAAACGGACAGGAAAATGCCAGGTTCTTCGATTTCATTGTTTTGACGAGCGCCTGATTTTACCATGATATCTCCATTTTTTCCCTTTATCGTCCATCATTTTCCATCCAATCTTCAAGAATTTATTTTCTAAAAATAAAGAAAAGTTGTAAGACTATAAAATTGTCTGTTGAATTACAATAATAAGATCTAGGCCTGTATGGAATCGAGTTTTGTTGGTGGTGTTTGGAATGTTAACTTTCACTAACTTTTTGCAGCCTTGAATAGACAAAGCTTTCGAATTGTTTCTTACATTTTGCGCAAACAAAAGTAGCCTCTTTCCATTTAAAGTAATTAGCGAGATATTAAATGTTTTGATTTAAGACACATTAACAAAATCCAACTTGGCCGCCGTCTTCTCATGGCAAAGAAACTTTTTTCTTGATTCAAATTATTTTGAGCATTTGAAAAATCAGAACGTTGTTTGTCATAATAATGTGTGAAATATGGTGAAATTCGCTCCACATAAGCGAGGTAGCCCTGAGCTGAGCCCCACCCCCC